GTTGGACCAAAAGGACCGCGGCCCTCAGAGGACCGTTTACTAACTTAGTTTTTTCTTTGACACTAACCAACCGAATTCGACGATGGAAGCCTTACTGGCCGCACTCCTTGTCGCTTCAACAATGTGCGTGCTGGTTGTAAGATTACTGCTTTGTTCCCTCTTGATGGGAGGCACGATTGGGCCAGTAAGTACATAGGGAAAACATCTTTCAACAGCACAACAACGCTCACCTTCCGTCTGCTGTCCGAGTCACTTGTATCTGGCGCCCATAGTGCCCGAGTCGCATTTCTCAACTGCTCGACGATGAGCCCCGGGCTGGTCACCTGGCTTCCAAACAGATTCGGTGCTTTGCCAGAGATACCAACAGTATCGCCCTTACGCCTTTCATATCCTTTCTTTTCATAAATCCGAGTAATTATCAGTTCAAAGTTCTCTAGATCCGCTTCGCCAGGGAATTGGGCAAGCATGGATAAGTCATTCCGGAGGCGCGCCTCCTTCCAATGGTGCGGAGTGGCATCATGTTACCCATCGGCCTCTTCTGGTTTGCATGGACTTCAGACAAGGATATCCCCTGGGTGCCTCAAGCCGTCGCCGATATTAATATTGGCATGAAAGTCTTCATGGTTTTCGTGCAGAGCTTTGACTATCTAGCTGATGTGTACTTGGTATTCGCCAATTCAGCAATCGCTGCCAATACCACTTTGCGATCTTTGTTAGCCGCTGGATTCCCTCCCTTTGCAACTCAAATATACCATAAGTTGGGAGTCAACTGGGCTAGTACTCTACTGGGTTTCCTGGCAGCTGCCATGACTCCGGTGCCTATCTACTTCTATATATTCAGGAAGAAGATCAGAGTGATGAGTAAGTTTGCGCCGAGATTGTGGTTTATGAATAGTGCCTCGGATGTCGATTGTGTTTTGAGCAATATATATGTACTGTATACACCCTGGAATTAGGATCGAGAGAGTTGCCGTTCCCAGCCGTGAAAGGGAGCCAGGTGGTGGGCAAGGGAGCAAAGGGAGCACGGAGGAGAGCATTGAGGGGCAAGAAAGGAATTGGAGGGAGTAACGATCTCGCCTGTACTGACTGTGTTCAGCCCGGCTTCAATTTCCTACTACGTTACTTTTGATTCTAACCGAGAGCATATTGAACGCCAAGAAATGACAGAGAAATGGAGACGGAGAATCGGTTGGATTTCCTCGTACAACTGAAGAATATTTGCGTTCTGTTGCCACCTTCTTAGAGGTTCCCACTGATGACTTGGTTTTGTGCTGGATCGAACTCGACGATTTCTCTCCTCGCCTCTACGACGCCAGCGAAGACGGAAAGTGCCAGCATATAGAGTCTAAATGAAATCGCGGTTGCGCCTCGAACGAGTTAGATAGCTATTGGCGGGTAGGTACGCACCTAGGTTCCCAGTACTTCCTGGCGTTCTCCTGGAAGTTTGGTGTTATCCTCCGCCGCATACATGCATCCAAAAAGGAAGGATGAGGCTGAAGTCGAGGAGCTCTGGAGATTTCCTGCTTCTGTTCTTGCTCTTCTTTCAAGACCATTCTTTTCAGTTCGCAGTTCACAATCATGCGTGTCTTCGTTCTTGTCATCTTCATTCCTCTCACCGTTGGCTTTCCACCCATTGGTGGTGGAACCTGCTACTACCTTGACGGCTCCATCGGCTAATCTGCAGGTGCTGGTTACTACCTCAGTACCGTTGGAGCTTCAATGTGCTACTGCGGCGGAGAGGACTGTCTATCCAACAGGTTGTGCATTGGCATACCGAATAGTTCCGTTAACGATGACGACAAAGCGATATAGCGACGAGCATACTCCAGCTACACCTAGCAAGATACGGCCTGTCTCACGATCGCTTCGTGTGAGTGCCCACTTTTCTCATGCAAGAATCTGCACCGCGTGAGAGCCGACCTGCTGACATTACCTCTCTGGTTAGACGTCCTTACATCCGAAGTGCAGCTGAGCAAATGTGCAGACGGGACTTACTGCTCGTGCGGCCAATCGAATGTGAATACCACATGCTGTGATAGCAAACTCGGAGAAAATACAGCGCTATCCGGCGCTCCCACCGCCCGCCTTCGCTCAAATTGCCTGGCGGTCATAGCGACATACCACGTTTGTGTATCAATAAGATACACCTTGGAGGTAGGATATGAGATTTCCGTTCACGTTCGGGACAGGGAGCAAGGCTACACTCAAAAGGGCGTCGAGAAGGCAAAGGAGTGTACCGGAGGAGCTCCAGGGTATCAGGAGCAAATATTCATCCAAATGTTCAATGGCGTTTTCGATTAAGATATTTCAATTTACTAACGAGATTGCCCCTGATGCCTTGTAAAGTTGTGTGGACTACCTGTGGCCTCAATTAAGGCGGCACAGGGCTTGTTTGTTCCTCCCAGCCAGGAGAAAAGCTTACTTTCACCCAAATAACCACGAAATATAGCAGTAAGCACTCTTCTTTATTCGGGTGCTAAGTATCACGGGCTGAATCAGCGGAAGGTAACGTGTTGCTCTAGATATATATGTGTGTGTGAGTATATATGTCGTGACAGCGCTCCTGGGAAGTCTCAAACGATCTTATAAGCTCGAGAAGGATGGTTCCCCTCTGGACTAGACATACACTGCATCGAGAACCTGAATACACACCACTTCTATGTTCCGGACAACTGCACTATCCTTGGGCAGGAAATTTCTTGATCATCAGCCCAATCAGAACGGCTAACTAACTGTATTGAAACATCGTTGCAAGTGAAATAATATATTTCCCCCCTGAGGAGCTGGCAGAGACAATTGCACAGATGTGTTGGGCAATCATCACAAGACAGAAACAGTACACATTTCCATATCAGAATGCTGTAGCAACCCCTACCCTGAAAGGCTCCGGAAATGCAAGAAAGTTGTGAACTGAGAAACCGATTTACGTAGTACAGTTACACAGTTACACGCCACAAGTGGCGGTGAGTAAAGCCTAGTTAGCTGCTCAACAGCAGCAAATCTTGCTAAATCTTCCCTGCCTAACCATCGTAGGTTAATGGTTCCGTTATTCTTGCTCAACAATACTTTAACTACCACCACGAACCTGCAACTGTCCTCCACTTGCCGGCCAAACCATCCTTCCAATGCCTGCCCTGCAAGTCGTGTCCCCAACCATTGCTGCCCCAGATGTGGTAAAACATAGGACTATGGACTGAATCGTAGCCTAAATAGGAGCAACGAATTGTCCTTACTACTGCAAGCCCTCAAAGTAGGGTGGGGCCTGTCACACGACATCGTGCAAAAGGACGACATTCTTTGTTAGTTGTGACGTTCGATGTTTGACATTCAACGTCCAACATCGATGCTTGTGACGATATCACCCATTCTTTTGTTCTTCGTATTCATGATTCCATTTATACTTCCAGTTGTATATCCTTAGATGTGCAAAGACTCTCCAGAGGGTTGATAGTGCAGAAGAGTGCTCGGCTGTTGTTGGTTGATATCGGCCCGGCAGCGGCAGCCAGTGTAAACGATTCACTTCCACCACCCTTTCGCCGAAGCATAACCTCACTCATCCTCACTCATCCTCACTCATCCTTCGGCGTGATTGACCGCCGTTGCATGTTACCATCGTGCCTTCTCATCAACATTGTGAGCCTGTGGCAATTGTCGTGGTGGTCACAGCCGCTGTATCACACACCTCATTTTCATCGCTTCTGTGCCGAAGACCAACCTCACCGAGCTTTCGGCTTTAATTATCCTGCGTACCCATAAGCAGCCATCCATTGGAGACTGCCGCTTATTAAGTTTAGCAGCAGCCATTCAAACTCTGTCTCACCTCTGGCCAGCTCAGCGGTATCTTTTCACTGCTAACATCCTTCTTTGGCGGTGTTGTATTATCTTACCACGGTTTGACCCAATTCTATGAGCCAAGGCCTGCTTGTATAGGTCAAGGAAGTTGGCTCTCACATCCCGAACCACTGAGTAAGCGCCGTAAACCTGGGTGTTTACCTTCCGCAGCTATGGCATCAACAGTGATCACCTTAACCTACCGCAAACGAGGCACAATCCCACCAGTCTTCGTTGCAGGATCCTTCTCGGAACCGCCATGGGAGGCACATGAGCTTAGCCAGGATGCTGAAGAAGGCTCAGGTAGCTTCTCAAGGACTTTTTCAATCACTCCAGGCACCTACCAGTACAAGTTCCGGCTAGGGACTGGGGACTGGTGGGTCACTGACGAGACCAAGGAGACCGGTCAGTCCATCTGATCGTTGTTTTTTTCCTTGGTGTACTGATACACCAATCTCTTCCTTCGTGCCACCTACTTTTCGATATACTGACTTGTTATAGTGACTGATGACCAGGGCAACGTCAACAACGTTCTGCTCGTTCAAGATACTCAAGAAGTCTCACCTCATGCAGATGTGTCTGGCGATCAACAAAAGATGTCCATGGAAGATATCGAAGAGGCAGCTGATCCGAGCAACATGCTTCCCAAGGCAGGAGAGCCTGAATTGCCTCCAGCGATTCCCGTCTCAGAAATCAGCGTGCAAGCCGAGGATGGGCCTACCACTTCTCTACCACAGACGACATCGGCTCCTATCACCAAGGTTTCTTCGACAAGTAACGTCTCCCATGACTTGCCCACACCACCTCTCTCCGAGGGAGGTGACGAGGTCGAAAATAAGGAGCCGTTCGCCGCATTCTCCAAGGTCATTGCTCTAGAATCCGAGGATCAAACTCAAGCATCCAGAAGATCAACAGAGGAGAGAGCTTCAAACATGCCATCTTCCACCTGGAATCGAAACAGGTAAGCTCATATGTTCAACCTCGTCTTAGCCGCACAGGGGCTCTATCATGCGATGTTTGCTTTGCTGCGGACGTTTCTTCCTTACACAATTAATTAGTCCCGGCCTTTACTGACCACAGCGTATAGGATGATCTTCCTGGCGATTGCATTTGCGGCTGTCCCTATTATGGCCTGGGGCTTAAGCAGATGATGCAAGACTTTCTCCACAACTTCATTGCGATCCATTCTCTCTTGCCAGACACCTGGGCCTGGCTTGAAGATGGTGGAAGCGAATGAAAAGTCGTCCCCATGCGGACTTTCAAGGCTGTCTAGGAGTTTGAACGGAGTCATACTCATCGAGCGGTGTATCCATCCAATGGCTTTCTCAAAGTACACATTCTCCGAGCTGGTCTGGGTACATGATATCTTCCCTTGATTTGAAATGTGAGGGCAGGCAACATTTCTGTGAAGTGCAGTCCAAGCCACGTGACTGTTTCCTCAGATATGCTGCTGAACACACGGTATAACAGCATAACATGGAATAGGCCCACAACCTGAGGTTTAAAACACATTCTGTGTTTACCCACTACCCACTACCCACTGCAACAAATATTTGTCTACCAGCACGATTGTGAACAACCAAATTCCTCTTGATTCTCATCATATCAGGTACAAGTGCGCGATATCTTAACAGGAAGTATCTTACGTACTGCTACAAGCCACATCTCCTTCTCCGTCAAGCTCTACGAGCACTCTCCATCCTCGTGATCATGCCTCCCAAACCAGGCAATGCCTTTGCTCAGCTGAGAGACATGGAGCAGCAGACAAGCCAAAGCTCATTCCAACACAGCCGAGACTTCTCTCAAGACACAACCAGCTCGAGTGGAACTGTGGTAGCCATTCCTCGCAACCATCCACAGGAACAATCATCAACCGGTGCCGCTGCTAGTGCTCTTGCTCAGGATATGCCAGACACACCTCGAACCACCATGGCTATATTCACTGAAGAAACTGCCCCTGAGGAAGGCCAAGATATTTCTCAGGATTACACTACACCGCTTTCCAGAAAGCATGCTCGGAGGCGGAAGAAGAATATTGAAGCGAAGCGATCAACTGGTGATTTGGAACATCCGCTACCTGCTGCACACACAAGCGACATGCCTGCACCCTTGTTTTCTGAGAAACAGAGTGGTCTAGATTTCATCAAGTCGAAGTTTTCCAAAGGCAAGAGAGCATTCTCGCGGGCAAACCCCACTTCAGTCTCACGACCAGGGAATGCTTTTGCACCGTTCAACTTTGAACAGAGACCCAGCACTCCACAACAATCACTACATTCGGACAATCAGACCGCTGTAACCGATCTACACAATACCGATCCAGCTGTGGTTTATGCTACCGCATCACCTCAGTCCAGTACACCAGCCGCCTCTGTCTTATCAGCAGGACCTCAGCAAACCACTTTACCTAACATACGTGTTCCTGCAACTGCAGCACAGGTTCCAACTCTTGCCGCCTCTATCTTATCAGCAGGGCCTCAGCGAACAACTTTACCTAACATACATATTCCTGCAACTGCAGCACAGGTTCCAACTCTTGCGGGCATTCATATTCCTGGAACTACATCACAGAGGTTTACCGCTCGGAATGTTGAAGTCCCGACACCTACATCCGATGTGTCTACTTCTTCCATGAGGCATACTCCCACAACCACATCTCGTCATTCTGCTTATTTGAGTGCCCATGCTCCGACATTTACACCTCAGCAGCCTACCTTCTCCAATGTCGATGCTCCCGCAATTACAGCTCAGCAGTCTGCATTCTCTAGCACACCCGCTTCTACAGTCACGTCTGACATCTATGTCCCTGCAACTACATCCCAACAGCCAGCCAGCTTCAACGTTGATGTCCCTACTACTAGATCTGGGCAGTCTGTTCATTCTGATGCCGACATCTCTGCAACCTCAATGCAGCAGTATGGATTTCCCAGCGTTCGTGTCGCCCCAAATAGAGAGCAATCCTCTGTTCCGGGCACTTCGGAAAATACATTTCAGCATTACATGCCACAATCATCAATCCCTGATCGTTATCGAGTGTCCACTGCATATGGTCACCACACCTCAAATCTTCTCCCTTTCCAACCGCATGCTGGTATGATGCCTTATTCACGTCTTGTCCCTCGTCGCCATAATAGGCAAGGACATATCTCCACTGCTACGCAGCACACGTACGGTACCAACCAGAGCCAATATGCATCTGTGAATGCAAATGAAGGCATCATCCTGTCCGACACTTCCATTACTCCTACTCGTCAAGGGAGCTATGCAGTTGCTGGGAATGCCGAGCTCGTGTCTCGTCCAAACATGGTAAGCATGACAGGACTTGTTAGCGAGGTACCTCCTACACCACAATCCAGCACTCGGCCTATGGTCTCTGATCCTGCATACATCACTACGGCTCATGGCGAGATCGCTGCTACCTTACTTTACAACCACAATGCCTCTGAGGATACCAGGAGTGAAGGCCAAAAAAGCGAACTCGAGGAGGCCGCTGAAGTGACAGCTGATGAGAATGCTGTGCAAAAGCTGCTTCGCAAATGTGGGCTGCGGAGAGCATTTTCAAGCAGCAACTTGAACCCAGAGGCCCCTGTGTTTCGAAGCAGGACTGAATCCGCCGCCGCCTCTGCTGGTTCGCCTCCTCCTGCTATGTCACAACACAGCTCGCCGGTGCTCGCTGCACCAGAAAACCCTCCC